GATATGAACTCATTTCCTATGAAGCCAGCGATCTACTATTGTTGATAGCTGTTTACCAGTTCTATGACTCAGATATTAGCCAGTGGCAAAGGTCCCTCTAAAATCCTCTGAGTATTTTCTAAACTGTGTACATAGTGTTTTTCTTAAATAAAATGTTGAGAGAAGAATGTATTCTTCTCTTGACTCTTAGTGAATTATACTTTGTACTTGGGGATAATATTTAATGCATTTATTTTTAAAGACGTATTTCCCGACTTTATTTAGTAAAGGGAGTGAGACACTAGGTTTAGCAAGTATTTATTTAGATAACATAGATACTCTGAGAGATGCTTTCTATGTCAATATTTAAATACTATTTTAAAACTAGAAGTAAAATTAAGGATCGTTTATTTAAACTAAACAAATTGTGATGAATTTAGTATCCTCGAAGATGAGCATAATGCCAAAAGAAAAGATAAACAGATACAAAAAGAGAAACAGTTATGGATTCTGCCAAATTTACTTTCAGTTCACTGGTTTTAAATTTTCCCTTTCCATTATCCCAGTTCCAATTTGCAAGCAGAATTTTTAAGCTGGCTATGCAGATCAGTTGTTAAACAAGAAAAAAATAGTCATTTATCTGGCCTACATTCTGTGTAGAGTGTTGCCACTAAAAAGAATCCAGGACATTTTTCCTTCTTATCTGGAATGTAGCTCATATCAGCCAACCTGTCACAAGATAGTACTTGATATAAACAAGAGATTGCTAAGACATCTCAGTAATCAATATCAGGATAGCTACAGTATGGAAACCCCAACCAGTGCATATCATTTGTCTCAGTATCTATTTCTATGGCCAAATGAAGCATTAATTCAAATCATAAATCTATGGTGATTTAAATCTGGGAATGAGCACCTGCCTGCTTTAATGATTTATTTTGTACATTTCAGTAAGCAGGAGATTTGTCCATATGAACTGACAGGTCACCTTCAGATGCCAGGAGCAGACTGTTTATCACCATGCAGACTAGCATCTCATCTTAGCAAGTAAATATTAAACTAAAAGAATCCAATTGATTGTGGATGAAGGAGAATGGCGTTGTGGCCATATATTTTACTCAACAAGCTGATGCCTCACTCGGATCTATCCTGTGCTCCTCAACCGCTCCTACAGTCATCATCCTCTTGGAAAGATGTGGGCTTAAGGTTATCATCTAAAATTGGAATGCAAAATAATTATTTGTCAGCATCAGAAATTTCTGCATTGTGGTTTTCTTCTTCTTTTCCGGGCTAATTTTTAAGACTCACTGCGAATCCGTGGAAGCCATCTTTCACAAGATTATCAAGTCACCTCATCAAGACAAATCCACCCAATTTAAGCAGAAATGAATTCTATTTCTTGGGATACAGGGATTTATTTATAACTAGGAAATCAAAAACATGCACCCATAAAGAAAATTCTAAAATATATGCCTAAACCTATGAGTGTAGTGAATGGAAGTCATATGGAGCTCAGAGTGTTGCTGGGCATGGGCAAGACTAAGCAGTAGCACAATATCAAGTCTAAGGGACACCTCTGTGAAAGGTGTCACTCCTGCAAAGACAGATTCACAAAAGCAGTGAGTTCGAATTCTGAAGCACAGGCTTCAGAGTCTTGGGATTCCTTCTAGTATTTGAATTCAATTCCTCTTCCTAGCCACTCCACAATGACTGATATGCCTGATACTCCCAGAGCACAACTCATGTCCTATTGCTGCCGTGGGCCAGTCTTTCTCATTAATACTTGTGTGGCCCTTGTACATTATGTGTGGATTAGATCACTTTTGTGTTTTTACATGGAGCTGAACTCAAAAGTTTAGCAAAGTACAATGTAAGATGTTTCTAAGTTTTCTCACGGCTTTATGGCTTCGGAAGTAACACTTACCCAAGACAAGAGGAATGTGAAGGGGGAAACTGTTGCTGATGGTAGTAAAACTAGGAAGAAGGTCACTTTTAACAGAGCGATTTGAGAAAACTGTATTAGCAGAAGTAATACCAAACTTCAAGTAAACAACGTGAGAAGCAGACATAATGAATGATGTACTAAACTCTAGGCACACATAGTTTAATTGTCACACTGTGGCATTTCCCAGTTGTCTTGAATTGTTAAGCTCAGAAAGTCTACATAACTTTTCAAAGTCATAATCAAATTGCTACTGAGGACTTAAAAGAGGCAGGAATTGTCTTCAGAGAAGCCTGGAGCCACAAAAACTGCTCAGTTCAGCAACTTCTTTGATCTATGCAGTTTGGTCTGACCTTCGCTGGGTTTCTTTCCAGTCTACAGACACTCTCCTCTAACATAATACTCACTTTCTATTATTTCTATATAAACATCCAAGAATAAGGGTTTTGATGAGAGACAACAGGAACTGAAACCTCTTATGCAATTGCAGCTTGTCAAGAATGGAATGATAATGACAACAGAAGGACTCCCCAAATAAGCTAAAGAGGCCCCAAATACAAATGATGTGTGTCCCTTTGCAGCTAACACTCCCCTGATGCAAACACATTTCTAAGTATCACAGTCTTCTAAGAAGACACACATGTTTCTCTTGTTTTAAATGGATGTTAGACGGTTCATACAATGCTATAATACTATAGCGAGCTATCAACTAATAGGAAATGTCATTTTCCCAACTCAAATGTAGTGGGATATTCAAATTGTTTATATTTTAAGACATGATAATAGCCTAAGTACCTACATAATTAAAGGGAGCTGTAATTCGGTCACTCGGTAATGTTATTACATACTAAAAATATGAAATGCATGTTAATGCTTACTTGTGAGTCATTTGCTTATTCACTCCTGCCTATGGGTTTCTGAAAATCTAACTGCTGCTCGCCTGCTCAAGAGTTTAGAGATGGTTTGTTTCATATTTAAATTGCATTATACTCTCTGTCTTAATCACTACTTTAAGCATCTTCTATAAGGAATGACGTGCATTATAAGTCTATTCAGAAATTTTAAAAGTAATCAAGGTGTCATTTGGAATAGTAACTATAACTTGTGAGTTGCTATCTTTATCTTACGGGAGCAGACATGAACACAGTCTTCACTACGCAAATTATGCAGTTAAACATTTCTATCATTTGGAACATTACAGAGGTCAGCATGTCTGGAACTCAAGGATTAGCCTTGTCCTGGGGAAACCACCTTTCAAGATCTTGGTCTCTCACTGCCAATTAAGCACTGATAACTTATTTTTGTAAGTGTTGCAAGCTAGCCTATCTCAGTAGCCAAAGCAAAGGAGTATATTTTAAGCCCGTCTGCACTTAAAAGTTATAAAACGGAGAGTATTATAATTCTTTCATTTTGCTTCAGTATTGGTAGGACATAAAGTCTAAAATGACTTGTACCAACCATAAGGTAAGCAATTCTTGGTTTTATCAGCCTTCTCTCCAGGACCACAAGCAGTTTAAGTGCTGGTATACAAATGAGTTGGTTTGTTGTAGCCTCATCTCTTCAGATGGTCCTCCATGTTTTCACCATTCTGAGAATAGCCACCAGTAGGTATTCTCAATTCAGTTGTCCTTATGGGGTCCTGCTGAGAGTTTCTATTCTTCCCATTTGGATGTCAGAAGTTGGCCTTTACTTACATGATGAAGAGCTATTTTGTGATGCATACATGTTTCAAATTACTTACTACCCTAACATTACTTTCTTGTATGTACTTATGAGTATCTGCAATGAAATGGTGATTATTAAAGTTCATACTTCATCATATGCCGATAAGTATATACTAATGAGTAGAAGGCAAAGAGCTATTGATTAACTTTAGAAATGCTGTCAAAATGCTACATGAAAAAGAGAAATTGATTGAATTGTGATGAACTTCCATGTTCATTCTAAGCTTTGTTGGCTAGGATAATATGCATGTTCCTTACAGAATACAATTTTCTCTTGTTAAATTATATTTTGAGCATAAATTCCCTCCTCTTAAGAAAAATATTAGAGTATAGTAACAGAATGAAATCCTTTGCCACATCAACACCCTGATGACAAATATTTCATTATTTAAAAAATTAATATACATTTAAAGCTACATTCAGAAGTCAAGTCTGCTAAAAGGGTTTCATTGTGTTTCATTGTGAGTTAACAGAAGGGAAATAAGGTGATCATGAGAAGTTAATATTGCTCTTTTCAAATGGGAGATGTCTTTGTAATGGTTGTGGATAGAGGGAATTACAAAAAAAATCCACATTTTAGGCAACATAGGAAAGGTTTCAGCTTCCATCCCCTATCCACAGTTTAACTTTGTGCAGTTTTGTTGGCTGTGGAAAACAGTGTTCTGAACTGATATCTTTAAGTAATTTTTTAATATTTTATATACATTGCCTGAGATCAATGATATTATATGTTGAACAAGTAGAAGATTTAAGTAACTCTTAGTACAGCATACTTTGAAATTGCCATTTATGCTATGACCTATTGTTTATACTCTTAAAATGCCCAATCTGTAAAATAAATTGTATTATATGTATAAATATAGCAATGCAAATATGTCATTCTTTATTATCCATGATTTCAGACAAGGGACACAAAATGTAGCCTGTATGAATGAGAGAAAGCTAGTGAATAAAATATGCTGTTGATGGTAATGATTTTCTTACTTTATAATAAAAGCATAAAACTGATTTTTAAATGACATGTAGGATTGTATACACACACACATATATCTGTGTAATTACCTGCACTCAAAATTTTATAATTTTGATTGTTAAAATTAATTTGATTTAAGTAATATATCTATTCAATACTTGTAGCATACACTATAGCTGTAAAATTGATCCCATATTTAAAAATCATTAACCAGGTCCTGTGTATAAATATTAGAGAAGCAAAATGAAGATTTAAAAATATGCTCCTCTTTTGATCTTAAAGCACTCAATTCTTCAAAGTGAAGTCAACAGTCTTATTCTAAAGTAGAAAATAACTCTTTTGAAAAGTGAATGTGAATAGTGTCAGTGAACGTAAAACTTACCAACACTTGAATTCATGTCCCCGTTTTCAGAATCTGCTCCATGTTGGTTGTTACTCGCATGATAATTGCTCATAGCTTCTAATTTGATTTTTTTCACCTTCATTGCTTCAGCAATAGCTGCATTGGTAGCAGCTGCAGCAGCTGCAGCAGCTGCAGTCAGACCTTAAAAAAATGAATAAAAAGCAAAGTAATTCAATTTCAGATTTTTTTGTATGATAGTCTACATCTTTCACATACAAACATATACACACAAACTTATATTAGAATATCTGATTCCTTTATGTTATAGTGATAATATATTTCCATGACAAACCAGCTCATGCAGCACTGACACAAGGGTCCAAATCCTTATCAAACTCTCTACTTCCACATTAGCAGAAACATAACTCACATATTCCATAACAGCGGATATGTGGATTTCATGAACTTTTGAAGACACACAGTCTGAGCATCCTACTCCCTGCTGAACAAACTCTGCAGGTGCCCAGAAGGAGTTAGAAGGTCAGAACTGCAGATGAATTACATGACCTACTACAAGCACTCCTTCCTTAAGGTGGCACACCACACTAAGTCATGATGAATATGCCACCATTTATCACACATGGTCTGCAGCATCAAACCTCTGCTCTCATGCCTGCCCATCACTGCCCATCTTCTAGTGAAATTGTACTCATACTTTGGAGTCTTAACCCCTGTCTGCCCTGGGCTGAGATGAACTATGCTTACATATCTGTTAGGGCACATGACCACTGCACTGTAGGTGTCTGCCTGTGCGTGCCTTTTCCTTGTGAGTCGGGAGCTATTTAGTGGCAGAGGCCATAGTGAATGCACAGCTGAGTAGCTGCAGAGTTCCAGTCTTTTTTTTTATCATTTTTTATTATAATTTTAAATAGCTTGTTTTACATGTCAATCCCAGTTCCCTCTCCCTCCCCTCCTCCCGCACTCCCCTTCCCCCCCTCCCTCCCACCCTATTGCCAAATCCTTCCCTATAGGGGATATCTAGAGTCTGTCATTTTACTCTTTGTAGGGTCCAGGCACTCCCCTAAGAGTCCTGGCTGAGAGAGCATCTCTCTTTGTGCTATAGGCACACGAAGACAGTTTGTATACCAGGGATAGACACTGATCCACAGCTCAGGTCCCCATAAGGTGCCCAGGCCTTCTCACTGACACTCACATTTGGGGGGGTCCAGATCAGTCCCATGCTGGCCTCCCCACTGTCGGTCTGGGGTCCAAGAGCTCTACCCTGTTCAGATCAGCTGTCTCTGCTGGTTCTGCCAGCCCATTCTTTGCCAATTTGCTCATCACTCCTCTCTCTCTGTCACTGGGTTCCTTGGGTTCAGTTCAGTGATTAATTGTGTGTTTGCCTCTGCTTCCATCAGTCACAGGATGAAGGCTCCCGGATGGTTATAGACATCAAGTTCATTATCAGGAATGGGCATACAAGGTGGTATCTCCACTATTGCTTAGCTTGCCAATTGGTGTTATCCCTTTAGATCACTCGAGGTCACTCTGGTGCCTGATCTGTCTTCGAGCCTATGACTCCCTCTTCCCCCTATTCTACCCCCAAATGCAACTCGGTATGCCATGATTGGCTGATATACACAGGAGGCCTGCCCTTTTCTGAAGAGAAAGGAGGAGTGGAAGCAAATGGAGGGGGGCATTTAAGGGGAAGTTGTGGGAGGAGAGGAGGGAGGGTGGAAGGAGAAATGTGAGTAGATTGAGAAAAATAATAAAAATTACAAAGATAGTTAAGCCAATAATTTTCTTCCACTTATTAAGCCTGTAAGTACTGATCTCAGTGACATAGGAGTAATCTGATCACCCTAGTAGCCTCATATTATTGATCACTATCACCCTTGCTTTAAATATTATGGCATATAACACAAGTTTTTAAAATTCTATATATAGGCCCAGAATGACCACTGTCTGGGCTTTATCTTACACACCCTTGTCATTTATAGATAATAATGGATATGCAGATAATAAGAGATATGGAACAAAAAAGGAAATCTAGCACCGCTTTTGAAAATCAGAATGCAAAAGCCACTGATGTGATGTGAAATGATATAGGTAGCCGGGAGAGGATTTTAGAACAGAAAATGTATTATCTTCTCAATAAGTCAATTTTTACCAAGTCCATTTCACCACTATAACCTGGCTGTCTCATTTGAAAAAAGATGCATAAAATGGGAAAAAAGAATAATGTCTCCTAATTGTAGAACTTTAACAATCTATGAAAGGAAAGTGTGTCTTTCCCTGAGCCCATCTTTTCACACAGCTGCTTGAGAGATTCTGAGCACTGTGTTCCAGCCTTCTGAATTTTTCTGTGTGATTTATTTCCACTCCCATTTGGTAGAGAGCATGAACACCCCTCTTTTTTCTTTCCGCCCCACTAATCATTACTTCTTGTTACCACAGGAGAAAGCTGCAGCCCTTAGAATTACATGGAAGTCTTGGTAGAAACCTTTGCTAAGTAATCAGTGCTTGGAAGATGCCACCTTCTCTTCAGATCAGTGCAAAGAGGCCTTGGCCGCGTTCGCCCTGATGCAATAAGACCTGCAGATCAGATCTTTCCCTGAAATACTCATAACCACGCCTTAAAAGGCATTGATCTAAATTCAAAGAATCCATCTGGGTTTAGCACAAGCATTCGCTGCCTTTTAAGTCTCAACTTGAACAGATTCTCTCATCTTCCTATGATTGAATTTTCTCCTCAATTACTCATTTCCTTCAAAGATGTTTCAGAACATTTTCTTTCCTGTTCTTTTTAAATCCTCTTGGTGATTCCCAGAAAAAGGTTTATTTTTTCTCCTTGATGTTTGCCTTGTCACCAATGTGAACATCTTATTTATCCCTTTCCTCTATTTCCTGATGTTGACTTGTCTCTAATTTATATCTCTTCTCAGCCCTATGACTTGGCTTCATATTACAGAAAGTCTGGTAATTATATTCAAAATATGAATACTTAAGACACAACTGCATATTGGCCTACAAATTCCAAATATAACGCAATACAGAATTGTTCAGGATCTGGTTCTAGGAAAACCAATGGATCTTTTTGAGAAAAGTTTCATCTTCTGTAAAACCGTTCTGAGACCAAAGAGGAAACATAATGATCAAGCAAGAAATCTATATAAAAATAGCACATTATAGAGGGGGGTTGGAACAGACACAGAAGTGACAGCAGAAATGCCAGGATTTTCTGCGTCTCCTTTTCTGGCCCGTATATCTTCAGAAGAGAGGTCTTTCAAAATTTTTCTGTAAGACGGACGCCGGGCCAGGATTCCGTGAGCTTTCTGTGAGGAGCCTATGCTGTCAGATGAGTCCTGAGACTCCCCACTTTCTAACAAAGATGACACCTGATGGACTATCTGAGAAATGTGAGTCCCCTCAACTGTTGAGCCAGGCTGAGGTGCAGTCTCTGGAGTATTACTCTTATGGGAATCTTCCATAATCAGCTGCGGAGTCGCCTGGCCGCTGTGCGGGGCCGGAACTTCCACTCCCCCCCCTCCCCCCTGTCCCAGGTGGCGCCGATTTCTCTCTTCGAGTCTATTTTGTAATGTAGTCAAGGGTACTTTTATAGGAGAAGCGACTACCGATATATTTTTATAGTGAATCTTTATAAATTCTAATGTTGAGTTGTTAATGATTATTTTAAGTATTTATATAGTTTAGTAAAAAAATTGTATCTCAATCTATCATTTTTGTATTATGAGAAGGGTAAAGTTTTGAAGTGGCTGATATTTGAACTGTACTTTTTCTATGAAGTTTATCTAAAGTTCAAGCTATGGTCAGTGCACCAGTGTTTAACGTCTGTATTCTAATCTGTATTGACTTTGAAACTGTACTGCAAAACTGTTGTGTGCCTATATAGTATGTTTCATATTGTCTATGAAATTAAAGAACATTTGATAAGATTAAAAAATAGCACATTATATTCAGTACAGCCTTTTCTTCATCCTTATTCTTCTGCAAGCAAAGTCCAAGTGTTATCTTTCAGTAGGAACCTTTCTTGACCTAATTCCTTACTCTAGATTATTTATATTTATCTTTTTAAACATTTTAATCGTTTCTCATTTTACATACCAATCCCAGTTCCCACTCCCTCCATTCCTCTTGCCCTCTCCATTCCCCCATCACATCCACTCCTCAGAGAGGGTAAGTCTTCCCATAGAAAGCCAACAAAGTTTGGCACATCTCTTTGAGGCAGGACCAAGGCCCTCTCTCCTATATCTAGGCTGAGCAAGGAATCCTTTCAAAGAAAATGGGTTCCAAAAAATCAGTTCAAGCTTAGCGATAAATCTTTGTCCCACTGCCAGTAGTCTCACAGACAGCTCAAGCCACACAATAGACACCCACATTCATAGGACTCAGTTTGGTCCCATAGAGGTTCTTCAGCTGTCAGTCCCGAGTCAGTGAACTCACACGAGTTCATGTCAGCTGTATTGGGGGGTATCCCCAAAGTGGTCTTGACACCTTTGTGCATATTACTGCTCCTTCCTCCTTTGACTGAATTCTGGGAGATTTGCCCCTTTTTTAGCTGTGGATGTCTATATCTGCCTCCATTAGTTGCTGGATGAAGGTTCTATGATGATAATTCAGCCAGTCATCATTAATTTGATTATAGGGGAAGGTCAGTTTAGGTATACTCTCCACTAATGCTTAGGGTTTAAGTTGGTGTCATCTTTATATTTATCTCAATTATTGTTACTACATTTAGTAAAATTATTATCGGCTATCAGTGCAAACTTGTTTGACACTTTTTGCAAGCATTACAATTTTAATAGAACTACAAAAGCTGTGTGTGTATGTGTGAGTGTGTGTGTGTGTATGACAGAGAAAGAGAGAGAGAGAGAGAGAGAGAGAGAGAGAGAATCAACAGGAAATTATGGTATATGCAACAATTACAAACTATTATTTCCACTAAGGCTCCTTATATTTGAATAAACATATATATTCAACCAGTTTCCTCGATGTCCACTACTGCTGCAATTGCAAACTTCTGTATCTTATTGCCTAATTTCTCATTATCAAATAGCAAATAATCAGTCCGTTACATTATACAGCCTGAGCAAGTTATACCTAGGAATATACATGTATACATATATGCACATATTAACAATTTATCAAAAAAGAGGCTATGAAGATAAAAAGAACAGTAG